AAATTAAGAAACTTGAGAAACTTGTATACGTAAGATGTTGAGACTGGAACTGACAAACAGGACGAAATTATAGGAGATAAACTCCTAAAAGATCGTTTATTTATTTATTTATTCATAATATCGTCAACTTCCTGCAGTTTTCTGATAGTCTCAATTGTTAATTTGGAAAACAAATAGAAACTGTACTTGTGCTCGGACAGGCACATAATTTGTTATTGCAATTAATACTATATATAAAAAAATATAAAAAACTAACTTAAAAAAATTCTAAAAATTTAATTAAATTGTTAATTTGAGAAAATTAAATAGAAACTCAACTGGTGCTCATACAGGCTTATCATTTGTTATTGCAATTAATAATATATGTATATATAAAAAAAAAATAAAAACAAACTTTAAAAAATTCTAAAAATTTAATTAAATTTCAAATTCCGGTAGGTTACTTAAAAAAATATAAGTATATATGAAAAGAAGCAATTTGTTTTTATAAAATTTAACTGCAATACATAATTTTCAATTTCTTTTGTTAATAAAATAAAAGAAATTGCAAACTTAAAGTCGGCAGCTTTTAAATTTGAAAGTTAGGTAATAAGCAATGTTTTTTTTTTTTTTAATTTTACTAAAAACGTACTCTACATAATTTCCTAAGAAAAGGAAACCGTTAAATACGACCACTGTGCCTTTTCCCTCCTCCTCCTCCATTCTTCAGTCAAGCTCCTTCTACTCTGTTCACAAGCTTTACAGAGGCCTACGACAACAGGCGTCCATCGGACAATGGTGACACAACAAGTTGTCGCCCAACAACAAGAACAATGGGAAGAGCGGAAACTAGCACAACAATTACAACTACAACTAGAATGGCAGTAATGGCGGTGATGATAGCAAAAACAAAAATGCTTAGCAACAATACAAAACACAGACATGTACCGTAAAAGGTTATAAAAACATGTGTAACCAGACGACTTACAAGGATCACGCACTCAGTGACACTTAATGCCTTGGCCCGCGTTGCCAACGGCAGAGCCGGAAACAGCGACGGCGGCAGAGACTGCGACAGCGACGCAAGCAGAGCGACTAGAACTGTCTGTCATAGCAGCGCATACTAGAGATGGGCAAGGGAACTCTTTTTTCTGCCCGACAAGACGTGGCCAAAAAATGGAAGTTGACGAATAACACTAATTTATGAATATACTAACCGTATATGCAACTATGATTTTTAAATATAATTGTTAACCGAAAGTGGAAATTATTTTAAGGAGATTACTTGTGAGAAATGTAACCATTACATGAAAATCTAAAACATACATTTTAATTAACGTTTACGTATTTTGTTTGCTAAGTCTATTAATGCCTCTGAACTCTGATTACGAATTGGATAAGTTTTTAGGTGTTATTGAAGTTTTGTTGAATTATTTTTAGATTAATTTTTACGCATATAACTCAGTCAAAGATTTATATTTTATTAATAAATCATTTTTTCTAATACATGTACTTTAATTATACTGTTATTATTTCAATAACTTAAAATAAACTTATAGCAAAATACAACTTCAACTTAAACTAGGAGCTTAGTCTTATTTTGAAGCTAATGCATTCATCTAAACTAGCATAGTTTTTTTCAACACTTGCTTTTTTAAGATACTTACTATATGTAATTCTACGATTTTCTATAACTATCTTCAATTTAAGGTTTATATTTCAATGTCTCTGCAGTGCATTTTTGAATTAAGTTAAGAACATTCAATGGGCTACGAGGAAAACACGGCCCAAGCTCATCTCTAGCTCACACACACACACACACACACAAAAAGAACGCACACACATGCAAACACAGATGGCAACAGAAACAGACAAACGCAATTAGCTTTTAGTCATCATAACATTATGAACGGCAAGTGGCAAACGACAAACGTCATGGAGAGAGAGAAAGAGAGCGAGAGAACAGCAGTGGTAAATGGGAGAGGAAAGGGCAAAGGTATAGGTAACGGTATAACGTCAATGCCAACGCCGACGCTGGCTGATGGTAACTGCTAATGACGGGCCTCGTTGATGGAACTACGAAGGAGGGGAGGAGGCAAGGGGCAGAGCATAGACGGAGACGGAGACGGAGGTTGAAGCCAAAGCTGAGTAGGACATGATGTCGGGAATGACGACGTTTGTAACGCTGTAATGATGGGTGCTAGATGATGGCATGTCCTGACTAGGACTGGGGTGGAAAGCGGGAAGTGGGAAATGGGAGCTGGGGTTTCGGCTTAGTTGCTGGGCGCATTATGTAGATGTGTTCAAAGCACGAGGCTAGCAGTGCGCCGCCTCGTGTTGTCAACAATGCCGTTAACTTGTGTCGAGATTAAAATAAGGACACTCCGAACATAGAAAAACGCGCAGCAAGGACATGCAGCATGCGGTGTGCAGCCATACACAAACACACATACATATAGACACACGCTAGATGTGCGGACGTGCCAAATTCGAGACGAGGACGAGGACGAGGATTGGGACGAGAACGAGTCGAGTCGAGTCAAGTTGCCTCGCATGAGTTGCGAGTTGAAGCTTTGTTTATTATAGGCAACGGGTCGTATGCCTGACGGCCCCATTTCCAGGAGCATAACCCCCACACCCCCGGTTGCCTGAAGGTTAGATGATGGCTTCTAAAAATTACTGCGTAAATGATGATATGATATTTAGAACATTTCTGCGGTGTCATTTAGCGGAAGCGGAAATGTGGCGACGTCGCCTCCATGAACAAACTAGCCGCAATCGGATAGGTTGCGGAAGGAAACTATTTGACAAAACCCACAAACTCACCCACACTCAGGGCATATTATACGACTGTGTAAGTGGCTTACTAGTCTGCCCCGGATAATAGATTTTACACTGATTTTTGTTGTTGTCTACCTTTTCAGGTGAAAGTTGGCGGACATCCACATGACATCCACATTTGTTGACATTTGAACTGCTAGTCGTAAGTGTTTTGTTTTAGAGTAGCTAGAACTAGAGATTTAGTGTTTGGGTATAACTGACCAAGCCTAGACGTGTCTAGATTAGTTTGTTTCCTCATGTTGGCTCACTGGCATGGCTCAACGAGCTAGCAGGAATCCCATAATGTGAGTTCATTCCTTGACTAGGCACCCGCTTCGAATCATGACAGAAGCATGATCAAAAATTGTCAAAGTTATCATACAATTTAATAATTGTCCAATTTAGCAAAAGTCTTAGATAAAGATTAAAGTGGATTGCAAACTACTTCAAATATTTTGATCGGTCTTTGGAAGCCAAAAAGGGAAACCAAATTGTAGCTGAAGCTGGAAATTTATTACCTATATTAATTATAAATAATGAATATATGAAAATACTTGTATGACTAGTAAAAATGTTCAATGTTAGAACTAAAATTAATAATATGAAAATAACTTAATAATAAGCTTGATATAATTAAAACTGTAATGACTAGCGTAATAATTTAAAAATAATCTGATACTTGTAACGCTAGGATAAGGTTAATAAATAAATAAATAAACTAAAATAAATAAAAAGTAAACATGAAGTATAGAAAAAGATATCTAGAGATAGGGAAAGAGAGAAATCAACAAATTGTACTGACGATATATTAAATTATAATATATTAAGTATGTTATTGAATAATATTATGTTATACGTGTACTTTCAACTTAAAAAATAAGAAAGCCTCAAAAATAACTAAACAATAATTTATATGAATGCCTCTGACACGTTGGGGGGGAATTAACAGATTCCCGATTCACAGACATATGTGGTCAGAGACATAATAAACCAAACAAGCTACAAACCACAAAAAAAAAAAATATTAGGGGAGAAAACTTAATTCTACTTAAGAGCTAATTAGATAAAGTGAGGGGCAGAAAAAGGAAAAGGATAATCTCCAACCCACTGGGGGAAAAATTTATTGCCAGTCCGATAAGCTACTCTTGGGTCTATCAGATTTCATTGATATATAAAAGCAAAATTTTACATACCATCTAGAACTAAGTACAGGACGATTGATAGGGACTCAAGCACATGATTTTTTCCCAAACTCTAACACTTTTTTGCAATGGCATTTTACAAAGACCTAACAGGCATATGCCTATTTTATTTTTAGTTTATTCAGCTTAGTTTTATTTTCAGTTCTAATCTAACCGATTTCTGACTCCCTCCAGTGTCCAGCACTACAGCAAGAGTGGCTCTCTTGGTATTCAAGTACGGGACTGTCAAGTGTCGACGTCACTTGATGATTGATTTGGAAGTGGCGAGCTGGCCAATTAAATTAGTCGCCTGCCTAACGGTTGTCATTGACAAAAGCAAAAACAGAACAAAACAAAAAAATATTGAGCAAATGATTAGCTTTGATTTGACAGTCCATTAAACATAATTTTCGAGAACACAACAAAAAAGAAATCGTCAGGCATAGTATGTGTCTGTCTGTGTAAATGCAAAGATTATGATGAGGTTGAGAGAGCTGGAGTTACAAAAGTCGTTTGGCAGATTATTGCACGTTATAAAGGAATGGCTACATCTCAAAAATTATCTCCAAATGCTGCCTGCCAAGTAGAGTGCAATTCAAATACTATATATTCGAATAATGCCAGTGGGGGATAATTGAAAATAAAGTACTAATAAGAGCTCTTATACTAATACTTACATTTACACTAAAACTAGTACTATTTGAACTTAAAGTTAAACCTATATTACGCTTATGCCTATACTTGCAACTATATTTATAGTATCCTAATACAGGAAATACTTGCGCTTGCTGAAGGAGTTGAACTCCACCAACTTTCCCTTTCTCAGCCACATAATTGAATAATGTTGAAGAACTAACTAATTTCCACAATTCATTCATTTGATGGCAATTGCAGATAGTCTTAATCAGTGAGGTAATCACGAGTCGACGACAAATTTGTCAATTAAATCTAATTACATAAATTAGAGAGCTTGTTCATAAAAGCAATGTCGCAACGCTTTGGGCCTTCACAGTTCACAAAATGATGAACGCTAAGGGTTTGCAACTTCTGTTGCCGCTTCTGACGACCAGTTGGCCGAGACTGGGGAGCCACAACATCAGCTTTGTGGAGTCGGTGATGGAGCGCGCCACAAAGGAGGAACGTTGCGCCAATGCGCCCATCTTTGTGGGTCGCCATGTCAACTGTGACGATCTAAGTCAGCTGCTGATGTGGCTGCATACGGTGATGGGAACGGCTACCTATTTCTTCGACGGGACGCCCCAAATGGCAGCTGCCCATGGGCTACGCAATCATATCCAAAACGATGCCCTCAATGTGCTCTTCTGTCGCAGCAGCGAGGAACCCATTTGGGAGCAGCTGGACAAAAGGCTACGGAAGCTGCGAAAGAGTCGACTGATTGTTTCGCTGCCCAGGCAACGGAGTAGCTCACAGATAGCGCTGCGCGTGCTCTTCCAGAAGCTGTGGAGTCTGCAGCTCATCCGGGTGGTAGTGTTGCACAACGACCACATTTATGGGTATACGCCGTACCCAACGCTGCGATTTTTTGAACTGACAAATGCGAGCGCACCATTGTTTCCGCCAAATGAGCGTAATTTTCACGGCTATGTGGTGTCAACGCCGGCGGAGAATGATCTGCCGCGGGTGTTTTTCGTCACCGATGCGCATACGGGGCGTAGAAATATACGTGGATATGGTTATCGCATCTTTGTGGAGTTTCTGCGACGCCACAACGCCACACTCCATGTGAGCAATGCGGGTGTGCATTACGGCGTTACGACCAGCGTCAACATGAGTAATATTAATCAGTTGATAGGCGCCAACAAGCTGGAGATATCGATGCATCCCTACACCGGCATTGATGAGCAATTGGGCATGCTTAGCTATCCGCTGCTGAAGGCCCTCAACTGCCTCATCGTGCCGGTGCGTAATGAGATACCACGCTATATGTACCTGCTGCGACCCTTCTCTTGGCACTGCTGGCTCCTCATAATCGGTGGAATTTTCTATATAGCTTTGGCGCTCTACTGGCTAAGTCCTGCGATGCGTGGCAGTTGCGGCGAACGCGCTATGTTCAGCATACTGGAGAGTCTCCGCCATTTACTCTTTCTCAGTCCATCCGCTCCTATTTCTGCGCCCAATATCCGTTACTTTCTGTTGGCACTGCAGCTCTCGATGTTTGGATTTCTGGTGACGAATTGGTATTCCAATCAGCTGAGCAGCTTCCTCACGGCCATACTGGTGGGTGAGCAGGTGGACACCTTCGAGCAGTTGATCGCACAGCGGCAGCGCATACTCTCTAAGCACTATGAGGTGACGATGCTAATCCAACAGGTGCCAACCGCTCTGCAGCCGGAGGTGGAACGTCTGGTGGATGGTGTTAATGCCAGCGAGCAGGTGACGGCTCTTCTCAGCTTCAATCGCACCTACGCCTATCCCTTCACCGTGGAGCGCTGGCAGTTTTTTGAACTGCAGCAGCAGTATGCGAACAAGCCCGTCTATCGGTACTCCTCGATATGCTTTGGAGCACCCGTCATTGGCTATCCCATGCGCAAGGACTCGCACTTTGAGTCGCCGCTGAAACACTTCATTATGGGCATACAGAGCACCGGTCTTTTCCAGTATTGGCTCGTCTCCGACTTTAATGACGCTCTCAAGGCTGGCTATGTCAGCCTCATTGACAATCAACTGACATTCAAGTCCTTGGATCTGGATACTCTGCGTCTCGCCTGGCTTGTCCTCGTCTGCGGATGGGTTCTCGCTGCCGCGGCATTTCTCAGCGAACGCTGGAGTTGGCGGCCCACGCACTCCTTTTAAAATGCAACCGTCTATATTTTATATACTACTTTACTATATAGTATGTACTAGGAATATACTTACTATCTGGCACACACTAGTCGCTTGTTTGTAAACATCAATGTCAAATTCTATGCAGCAATGCAATGCAATGCAATGAAACAAACTTTCAGAAGTTGTTGCTCACTTTCCAGAGATTGTTTTAAAGAAAGTTTAACCCTTACGCTTACCCGCTTCCGAAACTTTTATATTGGTCGGAAGATATGAACTGCACAGTGTGTGTGTGTGTGCGTGTGTGCGTGTGTGTGTTTTTCAGATACAGCTTGTGGGCTGGATCAGTACATACCCGTCCCCACACACGACTGCAGACATTTGTAGCTCGAAGGGCGGAGTTTGCAAATCCTGCACCTGTTTGCTTTTAACGAGCAACGCACACAATGAATCGAGTCACAGACGAGCGCACTTGGCTTTTAATTTAATTACCAAAAACCTTATTTCCTATTTTATTGCTGTCATTGTTGTTGTTGTTTCAGTCAGCTAGGGACTGAATCAAAAAATATTTGCTGAGCAGATTGCATTTCATATTTCAAAGAGCCAACGAAGTTAAATATTCATAACTTTAAATCGGACTCGTCGGCTAATAACAATAACAGCTTTGTTAGAGCTGTGCGCGTGACACGCACACCTACAAAGCTCAGTTCGCACTTTCACGAGCAGTCCTTAGTTGCAGACATTTTTTCAACAATTTCTTTAATCATTCTATGAATTTATGAAAAACAGGTGTTACACCTAGCCCGTTGTGTTCCTAGAAACCATTCCACTATATTCACAAATTGTTTTTTCGTAATATTAGTTTTTCTAAGTCTCGGCCACACTTTTATTCAACTCTAAACACTTGAAATCCATACTAAGTAGTTGGTTCATTTCAACGGTCTGTTGATGAATGAATTCAGATCCATTTTTAAATGAGAATAACTTCCCTAATGAGTGTGTGTTCTGATCTTCTATGTACAACTAAAGTTAGTTGTGTTTGAAAATATCAATAATATCGCCTAGATTTTCGAAATAGAATTTGAATTATGGCTGTTATTTGAAAGTCATTCTCAAACATAGAAGTAGTTGGAATTATTGTTACTTGAATGCATATTTCTAATAGGGGGAATGACTGAAATTTTTTATTGGTTTTGAATTCTTTTTGCGAAAAAAAAGTGTTGATTGCCTTTGAGATGAAAACCGGCGACTGTACGAGCATGGCCTCCAAGCAGGACGCCAGCGCCACCCCAACGATGTCGGAGGAGGACCAAGTCACCACAATTACCGTTCATGAGACCCAAAGCACAGAAGCTGGCGCTGGCGGCGACATCGATATAGACATCTCCAGCGACCTGAGCACTGATAGTGATAGCGATTGTAAGTCACTTTCCCGTAACAGAAACGAGAATCTGAATCTGAGATAATGCCCGATCTGCAGCCCACAGCGACTCCGATAGCTGTGGCAACGGTGGCGGCTATATTGCCGATCTAGATGATGATGAGTACACCTATACTCTGCTCAACGGTGACTCGGACAACGATATGGGTATATCATATGACGAGTCCATCGCCCTCCTGGCTCACGAGATACTCTGCTGTGAATACGAGACCGACAGCGATGAGGAGCTGGAGAGCAGGAGTCGCAGTGATTTGGACGACGACTACGAAAATGCCATACACACGCCTTACGAGTTCGTCGGCAGTGAGGATGATGATGAGGACTATAACAGGAATTGTTGTGTCGGCGGCAGCGATACCGATGTAACCTATAAGCTCCAATCTCTGAATTCGGATTCATCGCCCAGTAGCGCGACCAGCGATACAGTTTTCCTGTTGAACGAAGATCAGGAATAGTGCCTGCATATTCAGAAATCCTTCCTACACATCCATCCACACTTTTTACAGATACATTCGCACAGCATTTCAGGACCAATAATAATGGTCGATGAATATAATTAATAATTATTAGTCTCTCTATATCTATTGAAAATATTTATCGTTTAGAAATAATTCAATTCCACTTGTGATTTTAAAATATATGAGAATATAATTGTTTGTATGGAAACCAGAATATTAAAAAAATATTTTCATTTAAAGATTTCAGAAATGTAAGAAAAAAATAAAACGGTTCAAAATTAAAATTTGTTATTTCAAATAATTTAGTTATAGAACTTTTGAGAGCCAAACTATTCAAAAGAGTTAACCAATTTTGATGATAAGTCAGAATATTGTGAAGCTCTATTAACAACTCAAGCGAGCCCACATACGATACCGAAATAAGCAAAAAAGTTTTTAATTTTAATTTTTAACCCAATCGATTTCATTTCTTTATTTTTTTAAAGATTTCTTACGATTTTAACCCATAGGTTGTATGGCAGCTAACATACTTTTATAAAATAATGATATATTTTGTAATAAATGTGTTCTACGTATTGAAAACTAAGTATTAAAACTAAGTTTAAGACAAGACTTAAAAAAGCACACCATATAGAGTAAAGATAAATTTGAGTTTTCACTTTCCAAAAGCTATTCAATTTAAATTCATTTTATTCATTTCAAATATTTATATCCAATCACTAATATTGTTCAATCCATGGGGGTGAGAGAGCCATTGACTAGCTAATGGACTAAAAGTGATGTAAAAATTGCAAACGAAAGCCCTTTGGTTGCGCCTTTTTAGAAAATATTTGCATTTGCATAAATACTGCATATTTTAGAAATTAAATGTTTACACATGGAGGACTGCGTTTTATTAAACCAATAAAGCTTATTTGCTAATCTGCTTACTAGCTAATTTAATTGCTGACACTAAACCGTCAATACTCGTAATTCGCAAAAATGCCAAACTAAATAACAACCAACAAATAAAAGCGACCAGGACTCTGATAGACTCGTTCGCTCGCTTTTCAAATGTGTTGCCAAAAATAATAAAAGTCAATGAATGGAAACGCCAAGTCGGATTTCATTGAACAAGTTTTCAAAAGGTGAAGTCTATTGTGCGTAACATTTGATAGAAGCAACAATGCATCCATTGTTCCTCCATATCCTTCATCCTTAATGGACTATGGTCGAGGTACTAAATTATGGTATAAACTCAGGCTTGGAAGCTTGATTTTCATGTGTGGCATGTACTATGTATAGGGTGCACAAATGAGCGACCAATCTCACCCACCAATCTATCTCTTATGTAGACCTTAAATCATTTTATTTTTATCTCTGTGTTAGAATTAGATTAAGTTGTTTGGGATACAGGTTTAAGGAACATTTTTTGAATACCTTTACTCCAGCTCTGTCTATAAAGCAACAATCCGATTCGCTATTGAACAAACTAGCATCTTTATAATATGAATAGAATCGTCTGGGATATTAGTTTTAAAACGATATTATTACTTATGTCATTTAAAAGTATTTAAAGTATCTTCGTCGATTTGCTTATGCATTCTAATTTCAAACTTTAATATTTTAGATACAAAAGCCATTTTTAAAGATATTTCTACAAACACAGTAGCAGACTTATCCTGATCTTCTTTTCCTAAGCCGGTTAGCCATTAGATAGTTTTTAACTTTAATTTAGACGTTTCTCTAGTCGTGGGTCTCCCCAAACATAATTTAAATATGATATTGAAATCTCGTCCAAGTTTTCTTTAAGTCCACAATGGCCGATTTGTAAAAATCATTTATATTAACTTCAATCAGTGTACACTTGATTGCAAAAAGGCAAATAACTCAATAGTGGAACAACAATGAGCAACAAATATTAACACCATAATCTGAGCATTTTTGGCAAATAATTTTCCGTTTTCGGTCGCTTCCGCCAACACAAATAATTTTGTAAAATGTTTGCTGACAGCCAACAATGAATAATAAAAACAACAGCAAGACACACACTTACATATGTATAAGTATATACATATATACATATGTATTGATAGTAAGCATATAGGTATGAGAACTATGTGAGTTTTGTTCAAATTCCGTCAAATACGAGTATGCGTGTCATATCGACTTTGTTCAGTTTTCTGCAAACTAATTCAATTTTATTTTATTTCTTATTGAAAGTCAACAAATATTTTTCCTCAATTAGTGCATTACAGAGTGGAGGCCAACTTTGAAGCGTTGCCATTCGGCTTTTGCGAAAAATGTTGCAATATATACATAAATACTTGCATTCATTAGCATTATATTTATTGACTTTCGACCATAAACAAAGTTTCTATGTTACAGCAAAGACTGATTGCTTAAATTTGTTAGTTATCAAGCGATGACAGATTTTCGATGGAATTGCAGCTTTTTAGAAAATTCAAAGGTGGTCGACGTATACAAAATAAAAGGAAAGCCAAAAATATATATAAATATAGTATATATATTGTTAATTTAACGCAGGTCTTACAAATTGGAAAGGATGGGTACAGGGTGTTTAAGTGATAATGATTTATTCGTTTTCAATTCTTATAATTCAGCTTACGTAAATACTATGTCGACTAATACTTAGTCGACTGAATTTTAGTCACATATTCTAATTCTCACATATGATTTTTCAATTAAGGTTTTTCGTACTTGCACAAATTTGAATTTTAGTCACAGTCGTTGTGTAATTATTTCCTGAATTATTCCAATTAGGGATTTCTGTGAGAGAAGATGAAAGTCTTGGACGATTTAATCAAACTATTCTTAGGTATTTTTTGAACAATGATATTATGAATATCTTAAAAAATGTTTGATTGAATATATATTTCTGACATAAATACAAAGAATCCTACCTGAGCAAAGCTTTTCATACACAACACTCAATTATTAGAATAAGCTACAAAAAGTTTAGCAATAACTATTATAATTAAGTATATGAAAACCATGAAAAAAGTGAAGCATATGCCCTTCATATTTATCCATCAATCACATTCCATATGAAAATGTAAGTCGAATATAAACCTTTTATGTTTAGCTTTTAGTCTAGTCCATAAATCTAACTTATCTAAAAAAGACGTTGTACATTGATGATTTTAATTAATTAATTAATTAATTAATGGCTTGCACAATTCACTGCTTACCTTAACAAACATCGACTGCTTGTGCTTCGGCGATCATTCCGTGACTCGCTTTCCAAATCGACGACACTTGCGTATAAATTCTGTATTGACCTTCCTGAAGGCGACAATGGCGATGACGATGGTGACGGCGTTGGCGTTGGCGATGGCGATGGCAACAGGCACTTTACTTTGATTTACACGCACTTATTTGTATGTCTTTGTTTGTATGCATGTGTGTATAGTATGTCGCTAGACTTGGTAATTGATTGCAGGCTTGTTGTTTCCACATATGTATGTACATACACACCCATCCATGCATATGTATATGCATATGCGAATGAGAGTGCGATTGCGATTGCGAGTGGGAGTGGGAGTGTGTATTTGAGCAGAACGTTAACTGCCAACTGCAGAGCATCGAAAGAGAAACAAATAGAACAAAGAGAACATTGGTATGCTTTGAAGCGACATTTACAGTTACAGATTGTTGATTAGTTGATTGGCCCGATCGCGCACTTGTTGTGGTCAGTGTTGGTGTCGGTGTCGATGGTGGTGTGTGCGTCACCAGCAACGGCAGCGCGTCAAAGTGGCCGCAAAACTATGCAGACCGTAGGGTGATTCGCGACCCAGACCGGGAGCCGCTGGCAGTGCCTAGAGATGGGCGGAAGCAGGCCACAAATGCACGAGTCATCACGAAATTATGAATAAAACGGTGTTTAAAAACTGCAGCAATGATTTACATATAAATATACTAATATTTTTAAAACAATATGCATACTCGTAAATCGATATAAAAGAAATAGTTATAAAAAAATACAAATAAAATTAAATCAAACGATGGTCTCAACTAATGGTTGCACATTTCTCACATTTTTGGTGAAAGAATGTTTTATTCGGAAAGTACTATTGAAGTCTTTATTTAAATCCTTAAACTTATCTTTAAACAGGAATACAACTTTTAAAGAAATAATACAACACATATCCACAAATGGCTGAGCAATTCTTAGAATCACGATCAGAGAATTTTTTTATTGAATGGTATTTTATAAGTAGGATAACAATAATCGCGTAGTAGTACCCACCAATCATTATTGTTTTCCAAAATTCTATGAATTAAATCAAATTTATACATAAATTGCAATAAGTTACTAAAGATATGTCGAAAGTAAAGAGAATATCATTTTAAAGAATTATTTTTGGAATAAGTCTATAAGATAGGTATGATTAATTGATGAACTAAAAGCCTTTTTCACTCTGATAAACAAATGAAATAAAACAATAATATTCAAAAATGTATGCCAATTGCAGAACCATATGATTTATCAAACATATTGAAGAGTTTTTCAAATTTAATTTCGTGTTTTCTCGTGCGTGGCCACGAACCATGCCCGTCTCTGGTAGCGACCACAGAGCGCCGGCAAATGGCCGTCGGCTGCCATTTGGCATTTGGTATTTGGAATTTGTATATGCAGTCCTTTTGGCAACTGTGGCCACTTTGACTATTTTGTCGCCTTTGGGCCATTTTGTCGCCAATGCTGCCGTGGCTCTGTGGCGGCGTTGTGTGCTGCTCTGTGAATTCGCGGTCGACTAAAATCACACAAAATCACACAATCAGCACTGTGAGCAAAAAAAAAAAAAAACGCAAAAAAATGGTGTTCAAAGATACATGTGTGAAACCCACGTGGCACGGTTTAAAAAAAAACAACAAGAACAACACTGCGACGAGCGGCTTACGGCGTCGTCTTGAACGTCGTTATCGCCGCGGTCGGGACAGTTGAAGCCCAACCGGCTTGGTGTGCCGACTAAACTCGCGCTTTATCAACCGCTACA